ATGTGCTACTGTTGGAATCATCAGTAGTGAAGTGACGATGCGTTTTTAGTATGACATTCGGTAGGACTATCGGGCGCCTGCAACTCAACCTTAGCATCACATGACGTGATCAAGACAATTGCCCGCCTCGATTGCCATACTATGCATATCCACTTTCCCAGATGCACGGCGGAATGTTTGTTTTTTGTCTTCCGTGTATTCATTGAACTTGAAGCAAGGTTGAGGGATGACAAACAAAATTGTGTGTGCATGTCACTCATGACAAGAAAGATTTAGGGTTTCGACGAGACACTCAAAACTGTTTGATTTAAAATGGAACTGAAAATATATGGATATCCGTGCTAAATACATGACTGCATGTGGAAGTGTGTTCAACACGGGACACTTGTGATTATGTGTGGAACTAGCTGGAACAGATAAAGTCCAAAAGACAAACACAGAAGCTTTTCTGACGAGTGAAAGGTTGCTTTAAATACGTTGGCTACGTGGTTCCGTGCGAAGCTGGTTTCTTAGTAGACGCTTAGTTCACGACTGAAAACTACTATCGTGTAACACTCAACTAGCATTTGACTATTCGCGGAAGATGCACCCATGAAGGTTATTGGCATTTCCTCATAACATCTTCACTGAGGCCCTTTTGGGTTTGCGGCGCCAGTCAAATTGTGCTTCTAACTAGTAGTATGAAAGATTCATAATGTGCTTTGATGTTTTGTTCCAACCTAACGCCACAGGTGTCGGATTCTCCAGGTTCATTGGTCTGTCACTAAGACTCATAGTAATGGATGCCAACGTGAACTTTCTCATCCACATATGGCTACCAGATCCACCTAAGTTTGGAATATTTTAGTAATGCTCTTGAATGGCACATCAAGTAAAGCGACGTTAGCTTGGGTTTGGACGACCTACCGAAACACAGTAAAGATCCACTTTGGTGTGCATGACCATCCGTTATTTAAAAGTGCTTATTTTCTGGTTCGACAGTTTTGTAAGCCCATCTCAGTAGAGGGCATTAATGACCTGTCATTCCAGTATCGTCTCAGTGACAAACGCCTCTTTTTCATTTGTGCATCACTGTCAAAACGTTGCCGAACGTACTACGTAGGCAGTCTTGCGTTCAATGTACCTCTGAGTCCATAAGTTGCATTTAACCTCGGGATTTCTAACATAGCGCGTTTCGATAAACCATGTGGCTGAGAGGCTGCAGTTATGTAGTGAACGGAAATGAAATCATCAGATCAGAAGGCGGTACGGCAAAGAGTTTGGCATTCTAAAATGAGCAATTTTGCATACAAATGTACCGTGGCATCAAAAAAATACTGAAGTGATGTTATGAAGTTTAGTTACAAAAATGTTTGTAATTCCCATGAGAATATGGCCTAATCAATACTCGATAAACTGAGATTACTTTCATAGAGTACCAACAAACCAATAGCAGAATTTTGTTCGATAGGGTTTCTGGTAGGAAAAAGTTTGTACCTAAAGCGAGTGCATCGGGTAAACCTCTGGTTCATGGGTAATTAGCGAAGAGATTGAAATGAGTCAAGAAGTCAAATGGACTTAAAGTTGGAACCATCATCAAGACACTTGATTACCACCGAGTTCATCAAGATATTCCTTGAATTAACATCACACACGGACGTGCTTCAGTTGCTCCGCTGTAGCACCCTTTCGGGGCCTAGTTGCATTGCCAACCGAAGTAGGCACGAGGGCTGGGATACAGACAAATTGCCGGAACCTAGCACCCTTTCGGGGCCTAGTTGCATTGCCAACCGAAGTAGGCACGAGGGCTGGGATACAGACAAATTGCCGGAACCTAGACGGCAGCAGTCGAGATGCTGAGGTTGGATTCGAACCACCGATCTTCCGGTTCGTAAGCTGGCGCGTTAAGGAGCCTTGAAATATCTCGAGCCTGACAACACATTAGAAATCGTCCCTCACGAGGCTGAAACAACAAAACAAAAAATCCAATCAAGAGAGCCACAAAGAATACAATATCTGTAGATAAAAGCGCCGGGAACGAAAGTGATCCAGGTTTCACGTCACAACAAGCTTGATATCAAATTATAGTGCAGATGGTAGGAGCTCTTTGGAAGGGACCAATTAGGGTTGGAAATTCCCAAGTAGATCCCTGAATTTTCTTGATCGATATCTGCTCTAGTTGACGCTGTGTACGTACCCGTCTGATGAGTCCAGCCATAGAAGTCTTTTCTTTCCTTCTGGTCATGTGCACTCGGCATGTACATATCTACTAGTAAAACTTTCTTTCGATTCTCGATTTTAAGGTAAATAACCGTCAAGCACCTTGTGAGGTTCATTAGAGCCGTTTATGGCGGGTTGTGTCACAACATTGTGAACTATCTCCCTACATACCCGTCCCTTTAGTTCGATGATCTGGTATATACTGATGCAAGCTTTGTTTCCAGCCACAAAGTAATGTTAATGGGGAGTTCAGGGACTGGAGCTACTTAACCCGTCACAAAATGGACAGAGTTTTCATCGGCACTATAAATAGTGCCAGCTCAAGGGAAAACACTTCAAAATCCTGGATACCGTTTCAACTAAAACTTGAGATACCCTTCGTGAATCATTTTTGGTTGAAGAACACAAAAAACCATGAATTTTGTGGCACCGCCTTGATACATTTTGCTAATTTGTACAAGAGTAGTTAACTCCAAGTGGTAGTTCTTTTGTTCTTTCTTTTAAAGTCCAACCCGAGAGTTTTGAGGTGAATCTCCAAAATTTCTCCGACTTGGCTCAGGTTAGTCACAGTGCCACCAACCCACAGTCTCCAGACAATTGTTTTGTCAATTACGACTCACCACGTACTCACACACGCCCACACACACACACACACAATGAAAGCAAGTGTGGACGTGTCAGCTCTGTTTTGATCCCTCAGCTCGTGCAACCAGTTACCACGACAGTCAGACAAGTCCGACCTCAAATTGAAAACGGGACAAACTTTGCCAAAATTTGTCAAGTAAAAATAACCAGCGATAAGGTGATGAATGATTCGTTGGTGGACGGACATTCCCAAGTAGCCGTGGTGGTTGGGCACAAACAATCGATTTCACTAAACTATTTCCCTCGCCAGGCTAAAGTTACATTCTCCTTCCACATGTGTGTGTTGTCGGATCAAGATGAGTGATGCATGAGTAAAATAAAAGTTGATTTGGACTTTTATAACTGACAGCTATTCAAATGGATGCGAATTCGATCGGTTGCACAACACTTATTTTTGAGAGAGGCAAGATCGACGGACAGAAACGTGATCAAACAGGTCGACTAATCGATTTGTGTTTCGAATTTCCTCGAGTGGGTAAATCATTTCTCGGAAAGGCCGATTCCTGACCACAGACAGCTAATTCGCGCATTTAATGGATAGCGGAATTCCGAATAGGCTTAGTCAGTCAACTGAAGTCAGGCCAGTGGACACCTGATCATGGTGAAAGAACCACAGGTGGTTTGCACGGAGTCAGTGTTGTGTCGACGTACCGGAAGAAATAGGGTCTATAGGTAGAAGTTCACTAGATCAGCTACAAGTCATCGGCCTACCTAATAATATATGCTATATTACTCTGTATCCAAAAACCGGTTGGTTGTCCAAAGTTTGTAAATTTTCAGACCTCTCTGTGATAACTAACCCAAGATAGACTATCGCCGGAAATAGAAAATTCAGCAGGTTACTTGCCTGGATGGGGATTAACGGCAGAGATCATTGACGAAAACAGCTTTCGGCTTAGCGGCTGAGACACGAAGCGCAAATTAGTGGATGTGTATATCACTCTCCAGCTTCTTTAAGTAGGTCGATGGGAACATTTTGCACGTAAGTAGACATGAAGTGAAAATAATAATATATGTAACTCTAAAAAGAAGCCGAAATTTAATGGAAAACAGTGCAGTATTAGGCTAACACAGTTTGCTGTATTCTATGTCTTTTCAACCCGTAACCTTCACGTTACTCACTCCTTCTGCGGTAAATCATATACCAGGCCAACTCAGGTCCAGTCAGATGGTAGTGGGCCATGTCGTAGGATAGCGAATGAGCAATAAGGTAGTGACCGTAAGGGTTCGAAGTGCCAACTGACTGGTAATCTGGAGATCAAACCAGGCATTCGGCGTACCAATATGTGTGTGCTGTTTGAAATCCGAGGTGTTCTATCCTAACCAGGAAAATACAATTAGTGGCCTTATCCACCTTTTTCCAAAGTGAGCCATGTCAGGTCATGCAAATGTACCAACTGAACGGTAATCCTCTTTTAGGTAGATGTTAAGCTTTCCATAAAACGAAAGAACCTTGTTCAGCAACGTTTTCAACTCTACCAAATGTGATAAAAGATAAAAAAGGGAAGTCAGTTTACTCAACGTCGTTTGCTTCAGCAAGTTCAAACGGCCGCTTTTTAACCGTGCTCTGATACCAGTATTTTCATTATCGGATGAGCACATATTTCCCACAAGAGATGTTACACCTGAATTGTTAAACTCACTGTAAGTAGGTGGTTGCTTGTGGGAACCTATATTTGAGACAACTGGCTTACGTATTTGCTTGTATCGCTGTTTAAGGTCAAAACCCGAGTGGCGAAATTTTCTGGCCCAAGTTGTGGGGACCAGTAATTTTCAAGGCTACTTTCACTGTCTCCCGAACTTTGCAGTCCTTCGTTGGCCTGTGACTATGAGATGCTGGTACATGATTTCCTGGTTCGGTTGAACCCTCAGAAGTATTGGAACTACATTGAAATGTTTGGAGATGGGATGGCCAAATATGGGTATACAATAATTTTTGAACCATACGGGCGCCTCCTCTATTTTTTTTATATATTTTTGCTATATACGACTAACACTGTGGTATTTTTGCTGCTAACACTTACTGCATGCCCTCAGTCTAACTCTAGTAATATAAACATTTGACAAATTATGTGTTGTTAAAACAGCAATTTTGCAATTTATCGCCTTTACCACTTGAAATAAATGAATTCCATCTCGTTTGATTACACGCAGTCCCCTCAGCACCATCTAATTTTGTTGGCGAATCTACTGATCCAAGTACCATTCATCTCCAGTGGAAACCACCAGATCTTCCGGACGGTCGGGAACTTTTGGGCTACCAGCTTCGCTATCGCTCATCAACAAGCGATAAATTATCGATAGTCAGGCCAACTGACAACCCGACAACTCAAACACTCAGTTTGGGAGCCGATTTGACCGAGTACTTTCTCAAGGGTCTTGAACCGAGTACCTTGTATTACATCAGTTTGGCAGGAAGAAGTGAAAACGGCGTTGGTATAGGGGCTCAAATTGAAGTCACGACGAAGGATTATCGTAAGTCCATCATCTTTTGGTTTTGCTTAATAGCGATGCACAGTTACACTCAAGTTATTCGTTGAACAGCTTCTAAGTTTTAGTGTTCTTTAAGTCATAACCTGCGCAGGACATTCACTAATAAAATAGGTGCATGAGTCGCCAGCGTCTCAGCTTCTGCAGCGCATTTTGTACCAAGATATTTCCCACTGATGTTGATACTTAACCTTGAGGTGAAAGTTGGTTGGTAATATCAGCTGGATCAGTTGAACAATACATCTCATGATACTGTAACTTCATTCTGCACTAAGTGAGCTGCCTCATAGATAGTAAAGTTTATGTAGACGTTAGGACAAAACGGACAGTAACATGATGTTCGGAACATGTAGATCACTACACAACATTTCTCTCCAGGGGACACCACTCTGGGTATTGTTCGATTTTTATCAGGTGTGAATTCTCCATCCCGTTAGTAGTGATACGTTGTGCGAAGTTTGCTTGGAGCTGACCAAATACGCTTCTTTCAATTCGAATATATTTAGTAAATCTGACCATATCTTTCTCTAACGTGACAGAACTACTTTCCTCTCGTCTTGATCTCTCTCTGTCTCTGCTTTTGAACCTTTACGTGATGCGCTGAAATTTTGCCCAACAGTGTTCGAACTACCGGTCCCAAGAGGTGTACATCTGCGCACGCTCACGACGAACAGTGCGAAGATTTGCTGGCAACATCCCGATATACCACGGACAACAAATTACATCATTGGATATGAACTTTTATTCGGAACGTCACAAGATTCTATCACACCCGCTAGCGCGACCGGAGTAATTCCGCTGCCTCTGGAAATATGTTGTTGTTTTTCTATGATGCACTTGACGCCAGGCACAGACTACCGCGTTTGGTTGCGGATGATCCGTCAACCGATCGATAACGGAGTTGCAACGGGGGCAGCAACCGCCTCAAAATCTGCCGGATCGTGGGTGAATGAGTCCAGGAAAAGACAAGTCGGTCCGGTGTCCGAGCCACAGGCATTTCGAACTTTGGTGACGAGTGTGTGCTTGCTTCCTTTTGCACTTGCTTGAGCACGTGTATTCACCGGGCTTGCGCATGCGTTGATTACGTTCCACTGCATGGTTATGCCAAACGCCAATGCGGAATTAGAATTCCACAAAACGCAGTAAGGTGGCGCGTCAAGACATGTTCAAACCTTCCGCCAATTGTGTTCTGTTTTAATAAAAAGTTCGGGGAAGTATTCTATACCAACAATAGTGGATAAAATAGGCTAAATTCAAAACGAGAGAAAGCGGGGAACATCCGCCTTAGGTATGCTTTAAAACACTCGCTTGAATGTTGATATCGTACCAACATTTATCACAGTGACAGGAGAGGGATATACAACCGCTAGACTGGGACAATTCAGTCAACAACAGACTCAAAGTTATGCATTAATTAAAGGCACATGGAAAACGACGGAACGGTCGTCAAATTGCCGCCGAAGAACAGATGTTCGATTGTGTACTATTCCGCTGTATGACCAACCTTCTATGGAGGTTTCCCACACATTCCACATCAGGAAAGGGAAAAAACTGTCAGCATGGTTCCCATTTAGGCTTTTCATAAACCGTCCTCAAACCGGAAAATGGACAATTAAACCTTGTTGATCACAATCAAATTAGGCTTAGTTCATAGAGCATGAAGTGAACAAATTTGAATGAAAGAAGTCGAGACTGAATGAACCGGTTTAAAAGATGTCGAACTTGGGAGAATCGACTTTTCGCGTCCTAACATCAGTTGAATTTAGTGGCGAGCGCAAGCGTCGTGAAAAGTACCCGACAAGTAAAACTTTATTAACGCTGTGGGACAGCTCATTGACTAGTCGCCTTTGTCTAGTTGAACAGTGTCAATGAATAGTGTGAAAGTGGGTTCCAATGAACTTCAAAGACACCGATTTCCGAACTGTTCCGCAAATGAATATACGACATAGAAATAGGTCAGGTCAGACAACAAGTATGCTACAGTTTCTTCATTCAGTCAAGTATCTGTTAAAGTCCAAACTCCAGTTCCATCGTAAACTGCATGCCTAAACAATTAGAACAAGCATATTTAGTTCCAACTGGACGAGTTTATTTGAATGACTCATTTATTTTTGCACATACCATCACCTACTTTCATTACTTTAGTACCCGAAATGCCTCAAGGACAGAAAATTCTGGTCCAAGGTCCAACTGCAGTGCAAGTGACTTGGAAAGGACCCAAGAAGAGGTTAACGGAAGTACGTCATTATAAACTGATGTGGAATTGCCTGGATTGTCGAAGTCCAACAGTCCCTAGTCTCGGCCTCCAGCCCGATTCGGACGCGTATTATCAGGATCCTTCACGCGTTGGTCAGCGCAAAGTCCTCGCCACCTATGGATCCAGTCCCGATTTTGTGTACACAGCTACAATCGGCGAGCTGATTCCGAACGCTTCATATCAGATTGCAGTGGCAGCTGCAAACCTCCGCGGAGTTGGCCAGAGCTTTGTCTTCCCAGTAGTTCGAACCAAAAATCAAGGTATGCGTTCTGAATCCTAAACAATGCGTCAAAATAAGCAGAAATATTAGTGGTAGATCACTATCTACCGGTCATTTTTGAAAAAATAAGAGGTTTCAAAATAACCCATACATCACTAGAAAAAACTATAGAACCGCTCGTGCTATTCACCAAAGGTCCATCCGTACGTTATGGAACCTGATAATGGTTGATAAGCCGGTGACGAGTCCTGTCAAAAGTGAAACTCAGATCCTATCTGACTGAGGCTCTGATCAGATGAAGCCCGAACACAGAAGGTTGAAAATGGGCGCGACCAACATAGGGGACCGTCACACGCTACCATCTTGTTAAGTTAGATTTCTGGCCGTCTGTCGTAACGTGAAAAGTCTATCAGTTGTGCCCAAATTGGGCCTGCTAGACCACGTGACAAGACGACAGAGGGCAAACAACGCTGCTGTGCCGTCAGTCAACGTGACTGTAGGACGGTTGATTGGCCAAATACAGTCACTTGTTTGTTCAGCCCAGCCAATGGTGACGTCCCTGTCTTGGCCATTTTCACGCCGGTTCCGCTGGTTGCTATGTCGCATTTGATATGCTCCGCTGTTGCAACCGCTATCCGGATCATGTGTTGACCGATGGTGACCTTCAAGACGCGTCGTTCTCTGCACATGTACGTCATGTGTTGACCGATGGTGACCTTCAAGAGGCGTCGTTCTCTGCACATGTACTTTTCGGTCTGAACGCTTCCTTACACCACCTCAACCCAACTGCATTAAATAGTTGTCCCGCTCTTAGAAAGCAGTTGGAGGACATTTTGATTGTGATCACAGCGGCCTCCATCTTAGCTTGGGGTCCAGATACATTTTCATCTTTTCAGACCTATACTGTCAGCATCTGCAGTTCGAATGTGGTACAGTTAACAAGCACTTTGGCTAGTTTTGAGACTCTTTGAAACAAAACATAAATCAGCCGATGATTATGTAAAGGTGTAAGGTGATGCTTTGCTTTACTCAAACATCACACACTGCTGTTCACCCACAGGAAGCCAGATCACTAGTACGACTGTTTGTGTGTACTCATCAGACTTCATTTTGGTGAGTATTGAAATCTGTTCATTATTCAAGTCGAAAAAGATACCAATCCAAGCGTACTGTAGCAACTTCGAAATAGCTGTTCTTGGTAGTTTCGAAACCAAGGGAGGCATTCAAAGGAATTTAACGAATTCCGAAAGAAAGTAGAAATGTGCGCCAGATTCGAGTGACTTCAGTCTCAATGGCTCACCTCTTGTCGTGCGGAGAAATGGACGTTGCTACATCACCATCAGGAGCCATAGAAAGATCAGTTACAAACATTCTCCGTACAAGAAGAAATCAATTTCTGGCCGGGTCGCTGATTTGAAGTTATTGGACCACCAGAGTAACTTCGGTTCAACCGTGAACTATACAGAAGTATACAATAGATATTCATGAGTGTTCTGAGGCTCCAAAAATCTTTCGCGACAACATGGTGCTATGGTGTGGTCCTACAGCCTCGTAGTGCCCATTTTTCACCTCTCGGTGTTTTTGAGACACTCGATCAAATGACTACTCTTGCAACCTACGAGCTCCGCTTTCGATGAAACCTGTTACCTGCCGACCAATGTGGAATGAAAAACAAATGGTTCTGTTGTACCGTAGCAATCTGGATAACGAAAAAGATGCTAAGAAATTCCCATCAGATTTATTTTAAAACAATGTAAGCTGTGTCAGTTGAATTTGGGTAGGCAAAACCGTGTGTAGAGACGTGCTGTTGATTTTTCTACCTAAGAGCAACATTTTCAGATTGTCATCGAAAGTCCATTACGAAACATTTTATACATGTACTATGTGAGAATAAATGAAAAGTCACACGGAATTGTTAAAAATGTATGTATGCTTGAGCGCTTCTCATCACTATCAGGATCCTAGAGACATTCGATCCGCCAGCCCATTGGTTCTGTCCTGAAAATATGACCAATCTAGCAAGAGAGCCTTCACTCGCCTTGTCAGCTTACAAGCACTAGGTGCTTTTAACCTGATACATCCTGAATCGGCTGTTTCTGGGTTGTGTGTGTAGACACTTGAACGGGTGCTGAGGCACTCTATGCATGACTTTTTAGGACAAAAGTGCATCCTAAAAGTACTGTTGATTCTCATCTCCCACCGAGATTTTGATGCTGAACTTGCGGTTGCTTCCGAGAGCGATCTGTTCAGATGAAAGGAGTAAAAAGGGAAATGAAATCTGCACACTCGCAATAACTAAATCCATTTACAGTCTGCCGCTTTGTATTAGTTAACTTTTACATTTTTCTATTGAACTCAGTTTTATTGTGTTACGTTTCGTAGGCACAAATCTTTTTTTAGCAACGCGTAAAATTCAACTTCAGTCACTTTCGAAATCTGATGCACATTCACCTCAATCATCTATTTCGAAAATTTATTCGATCGTACCCTGTCACCCTAAAATGCTTCATACCGTGCACACTGGGATGCAACTACAGTTCGATGGACTGGGGTTGACGAAAATTTGGTAGTCAGTGTGTTGGACAGTCCTCGTTCAAAAGTTTACATTACTAATGGGGCGTGATAAACACACAGACAAAACTCGTTGTTGTTTTTATGGCAGCGAAAGTGGGATGTCTAACTGGAATTCGTTATGCTCGAAGAGAATTAATCCTGTCTAACTGTTCCATGCAGAGGGCAAGTAGTTTGGATCCCGGTGTTTCATTAACAATTGCATGCCTAAGCTGGCATATCTGGTCTAGTGTCCAGCAGTAACACTTTTTTATCCGAGGAACTAAATTCAACCATCCGGTAGCGTATTTGATAAAGGAATCAGAAAACGGAATGTGCCCTATAAATTTCACTAACTGAGTGACTCATTCTACCAAGAGTTGCTAAATGTACATTTCGACGGAAGTTCCAGATGTCTGTGAGTTTATTCTTGGATAATAATAGTAGTAATAATATCAATAATGATATTACTAGTGACTCATTTTACCAAGAGTTGCTAAATGTACATTTCGACGGAAGTTCCAGATGTCTGTGAGTTTATTCTTGGATAATAATAGTAGTAATAATACCAATAATGATATTACTACTACTAATAATAATAATCAGTACTAGGTTTCAAAATGGCCTACTTGCTTACAGTGGTTAAAGATACCACAGTTTAGATTGCTGATCACCTGGAGAGTTAGGTGTAGATGGCTACATAATTGCGACAGTGACTGACATCACCGATGCTTCTATGAAAGAGTACCAGTGGACTTCATTGGGGAGATCGGGAGAGGCAACTGTGCAATGAAGCCTGGATGCATGCGTGCCACTGGCGCGCGACTGAAACATGTCTGGTAACGTCCCTAACCACTGATGACTCCCGTCTCGCGCTCCCCGTCCAGGCAAACGGCAATGACCAGAACAGTTGAGTTCGCTAGTGCAGACTTTCATACTTCCTAGCCAACTCACTGCTTGGCCTCGCTTGGCTCGCTGAAACATGTCTGGTAACGTCCCTAACCAGTGATGAATCCCGTCTCGGGCTCCCCGTCCAAGCAAACGGCAATGACCAGACCAGTTGAGTTCGCTAGTACAGACTTTCATACTTCCTTGCCAACCCACTACTTGGCCTCACTTGGCTCTTTCCTCATTTGGCGCAGTCAAGCAAAATCGGCTGTCTGAGGAAGTCGGTCGACTGGCATGTGGAGAACGTGACCAAGCCAGCGGAACCTGTAGAGTGCGATCAGTTCACCTATCGTGGGCAAGTTACTTCTTCAGGAAACCGTTTTACTTACTTCAACATTATTGATCCTGGGGTCTCATCAGACTCAATCAATGCACCGTAGACATTTTTCTGAGCGCACGAAGCCGATTTTCTGACCATACTACAATATGCAGCACACTGCAGCATTGTATACTCGACAGTTGACAGATAAGCTTCCTACGCCATGGTTGATGCAGGTTCACAAAAGCTACTCTGGTTTTCCCATTCCAGATGAAAGTATTGCCTCTGGATCTTATTATTATTAAGGTACCTGTAAGTGGGCATTACGGACAAAATGCCGCAACAACCTCAAGGATATATGGTCGTTGAGTGCTTTAGGTGAGTAGCATTGAAAATCCTTTGTAAATTTTTCGTGAAGTATTTGGTCGACGGGTCATTTAATCCACAGCTTCCTTTGTTTAAGTACAATGTGTTCCGCGGGACATCCCTAACAGTCATTACTCTGTTAAGGGTGGTTTCACTCAGTCATAGTCAGCAAAACTATTCATTGTCTTTTAGGCAGTCATTGCATATTATCTGCCCTCTATGCTCTCGGTTTCGACTGACGAGAAAAAATTTCCTACCTCAAACCACAAACAGTTACCACATTATTACGGGTGGCTTAAGTAGATGCCGTTTTATTGAGGCTCAGTATGTTTCCCGTCTAAAGACTCTGGATTTAACAGCTGAAAGTAGGTCGGCTGTGTAAAACACGTACGAGTGATATGGCGTCTGTTCCTTGAAGTCGCGACCACTCCCCCCAATACGACTGACTCCGCGTAGCTTTTTCAGAGCGCGCTGTTTCCCAGGTCACGCAATGCTTTACTGTCCAAGGTTGCATAAAGGCCTGGGGGGACTGGCATGAAACTCTGTTATGAAGCATGACGAGTGCCTACTTTATTAGTGCATTGTTGAGGATGGCCATTACACAAATCAGAAGGTGTATGCACCAATAAAAGTTTTCAGCATGGTTGACAGTGTTGGGTTGCAACATGTATAAAAATACAATGCGAAAATGGGAGCAAGTCCAAAAAAGGAACCTATTGTCTGTAAGAGTAGCTTGGTGAAAGTCCGGACGGAGAGGTTGACGTCCTGCTCCCTGCGCGCGCGACTCTGTGTATGCTGAATGTGTTCGGTTTCTCTATATGTAGGTCCGTTTGCGTGCACGTGGGCGCCTCATCACACGGGTAGCTGCTACGCTCACTAGGTGGTGCGGACAATCGATGTCCGATGAGTCAGCTTA